TGTGACTGCCATCGCTGGAGAACTCTATGTAAAAATCGCCTGGCTGCCACGCGCCCAGCCTTCAATGATGACAGGGGAGGTCTCTATTAAACCCCATGAAGGCAGCCAAATCCGCAGAAGGTCCAGTCTAACTGGACTGTAATGGAGGCGCTTTCGCCGCTGACATGTTAAGTTGTCACTTGTAACCCATTTATTGATCTATCATCGGAGAGTCCCTGTACCGTCAACGGAACAATCTCAGCAGAGAAAGTCCTTGTAGTCTGCGCAGACGTCCCCGTAGAGTTGTCGTTATCTAAGGGGTGTGTAGCCTTCTCTGGGTAGAGGATGGCGTCTATACATCGTCTGCGATGATTGTAGAGCTGCCCTCTCTGTGGGATGATCAGTAGTGGCTTATCATGAAGACCTCTCACTGCATCTTCTACGTCTGCGTTGAGGGGTTGTCCGATGTAGAAGCCAACGTCTTCGAAGTAAGGCGGACAACATCCCACGCCCATCCTCCGAGGACACCTCCGGCAGTTCACTTGATGGTAGTAAGTCGTCTAACAGCAGTAGACAGCTCATGAGGGACTCAGCCAGTTATCCATGACTTGGACAGTCACCTGGATAGTTGATAGTACGTCTAAGTACGGAGAAAAATTACATATTAATTTGAATTTCAATTAAAAGCTGATAAAGATTACAGCTATAGCTGGAAGTACATATTGTTGTGCAGCTAGGGCACAATCAATGCGAGTCTGCAGCAGCGAACCCAAACCAACAACGAAAATAGGTTATCATGAAATGTAAACAACTTAACAAATACGGACAATACTGTTAATAAACAGTGCTCCATACGATTAAATATCCAACCATATTGTTGTAGGATACTAACTAAACCTCTATAAAAGTAGAATAGAGGAGAATAACTAATTAATTAAAGGATATAGTGCCGTATAGGAGACACAGGTGCTCTCACAACCTGCCCACAGGGCGAAGAAGGAGAGAGTGAGGCATGTGGGCACGGTGGCGCCACAGTTTCCCGCCTAAACGGCTGGAGAGATAACTCTTGGTAGGAGTGATTTTACGTCTATTCTTTATTGAAGGGAGCTTCAATAGGAGATACAAGTGTTCCACTATGTTCGCAAGAAGAAGAAGAAGACAAGCAAAAGAGCATGAGTCAGGATAAGGAAAAATTAAAACTGATCAACCTAATATTTTCCTCATCTCAGCACGTCTGGAAGTCACAATCACCATTGTGATGGAGTTAGTCACAGCTTTGACAAGTTTAGAACACATACTGGCGATGATACTGCCATTGTCAAGATGGATAACATCAACAGATATATATATCTTCTAGATCTGTTAACTGAACACTTGTGATGATAATGAAGAATGAAGACATCCTCTATTTATTTAGAAAAGGGTACAAAAGGGTAACAACTTTACGTGGAATGAATCAGTAAAACATGATTATGAACTTTTGAAGCATTATCGAGTCTGAGTAAACTTAGGCTCAGTATTATTTGTTACACTGCTATACTGAATTTAACAAACCCTAGTAGAAGGTCGCATCGGCATCATTCCCCTAGCACACACACACACACCTCACATCCCCCTAGCCCCCTGCTGTTATAAGCAGGTTTAACCTCACTAATCATCAGTCACCAGATCAGAAGATTTTAATATATTCCTTTTCATTGTTTCAGCCTTCAACAACCGTCCCCACATTCTACAGCTTACAAGCCAGTCTGTATCGGTCCCGTGCCAAGAATGTCCCACCTCTTCCGCTACAGACTATACCTTAATCCCCCTTTGTTAACTAATTGGTCATGGCCTGGTGGACTCTAAGCAATAGATGTGGGGAATGTGAGGTGTCCCCTATAAGCCACTACTTAGTACCTCTAGCCCCTTGCCTGGCTGTTCTGTTAGCTGTACTCACTCCCGTGTAACTGGATTATCTGCTACTAAGCTCGTTAGGTTAGGTGTTTTGAGGTTTTGACGTAGGATAGATTGCTCTTATAAAATAGCCATGTCACCAGAAATTCAGTATGATTCTGGATGAACAGACAATACCCACTGAACATGTGGAACTTCTGGAACCAACAACCGTTTATTTATCCACGAGGAAGCATCCAGCCAAGTACAGCTTTTGCAACTTAAGTGTGGCCGATGATTACTCAATGCCATTAGGAAGTGGTCAAATGTAACATGTTATATTTGGGATTACAGTGTGGACAGTCTGCTTCCAAACATAGGAAGCAATATGTAGATGACAAAAATATACTCCTTGAACTAGAGTACATGTTATGTGAAAGAAATCTTGACTCATACCTGTGTGCCATTGGACCAACACCAACACTGTACCAAAAACAAGTATCATATTTATGTGTGGAGAGAGTGTTTTAGAAACTGTGGAGAGTTACTGTTACTTAGGTTTGCTTCTCACAGAATATTTAGATTATGCAAGGATGGCCAAATCTGCAGCTAATTCGGCCAGTAGGGCTCTTGGCTTTTTGATATCTAAATACAGTCAGACCTCGTTTATCCGAACACTTTGGTTTTGTATTGAATTGATCGACAGAAGACATCGATAATCGATTATGGTTTTAGAGGTCAATTTCCAACACTAGTGTTCTAATTGGTCAGTCCAAAAGGTTAGCTACTACTCCAGCCCTCTAGCCCCTTACCCCCTATTGTTACAAGCTACTAAGTAGTACCTCTAGCCCCTTGCCTGGCTGTTCTGTTAGCTGTACTCACTCCCATGTAACTGGATTAACTGCTACTATTAGTTAGGACCAAACTGTTGTATCATACAGTTTTGTGAATGTAGCATATTCCATTCCACCAAACAATTTGTACAGTCAGACCTCGTATATCCGAACTTCAGATATCCGAATACCTCGGTTTCCGAACATTTTTCACAAAAAACGAAGTTTTCTAGTTACAATTTACCTTGTATATCCGAATGTTCGGTTTCCATATCCGAACGGTCAATTTTGGTAACGAAATAGCAAAATATGTACAAATTTGCCTCGTATATCCGAACACCAAGGCTGTCGATCGACAAGATGTCTGCTGTTTACTGCTCCTCAACAGTGCTATCTTGTCTATCACGTGTCAAAACATTGTGCTGGCTGGTAGTTAATTCATTGTTTGATCTGTTTGACCAATTCATTGTTTATTGAATATTTATCACAGGGTGTGTAGGTTTATTAGAGAAGAAACAATTAAAGTTAGACATTGAGTTGACACTGATTCGAGTCATTGATTGATTGAGTAAGCATAAATAAAGACGGAGGTGTATGCTAGATATAGAAACAACACAAAAGGTGTGGATGGCAGCAGAGCTGTTTCCTGATTGGCTGCTGTCTTTTGATTGACAGATGAGGTCACGTGTAAGGCGGGTCATTTTGCTTGTTGACAATGCGGCTAGTCACAACTGTAAAAATCTGAAACTAACCAGCATGACTCTCAATTTCCTGCCACCCAACACAACCGCACACATTCAGCCAATGGATGCAATGGATTTGAAAATGTCGGCAACCTCACAAACCTGGAGCTGTTGTTAAAAATCCAAGCAGCGAATAACAACTCTGTCTGTCAACAATCATCAATCAAAGACTTCTTCAAGCCGATGTAATTTATGTTATGTTATGCAAGATGTAATGTTAAGTAAAGATGTAGTTATGTTTCAATGTTAATTTTAGTTGTTTTGCTAAGTTTGCTTAGACTGAAGCATTATTAAAATTAACCGATGATGTCCTTTATCATGTTTATGGATCACAAATTAAGATGATTCTTAACAATAGTAACCATAGTTTTTACAATATTTCCTTGTTAAGAAATTAGCACAATATAACTTATGTAAATTATGGTCACTGGTTCATGAAATGTCTTCAAAATCTCTTGAATTAAGTTGAAATGAAAAGATTAAATAAATGTTCTACTGTATTCATTTCTCTTTGACTTTACAAGCTGTAGAAGAAACGAAATGAACAGTAATATCACTTGCAAATCCTTCAAAATCAATGGAGGGGAATCTGATGCCGATATCTTCCCAAACTTAATGCATGTGCTTTGTACATTGGTACGAACATATATATTTATATAACTATGATATGTAGACTGAACATTAAAAGTGTGGCGTTTAAATTCTGCCCCTGATTGCGTCATCTTGATAAGTTGGTTTCTTGCTTATTTCGCGATACAGTTAACGAAGACACAGATCTTGACTACCTGGCCCATTTGTCACTTCCAACAACTACAATGGGTTGCAGGTGATGTTTGCGGGAGAGAGTGAGTATGGTTTTATGCCGCTTTTAGCAATATCCCAGCAATATCATGACGGGGGACACCAGAAATGGGCTTCACACATTGTACCCATGTGGGGAATCAAACCAGGGTCTTCGTGTGACAAGCAAACGCTTTAACCACTAGGCTACCACACTGCCCGTACAAGGGATATTTATTCTCACCAAAACTTGCACAGGTCATTGGGACAGGCAATGGTGTCATGTTGGCACCACACATGTCTAAATATGACTAAGCTTGTAGCATGCTACAACACAGTATTCCCTTTTCACCATAAATTGACATGTCCAGACAGTATGTTCGTTTTTAAAATGTCTATTCTGTACATTAGCTGCATACATGGGGAACTAGCTATTATCAACTGCAAGTGTTTAACAGTTTAAACAGGTCTAGATATATTAGATGGGACTCATTATGGCCATATCGTCCGAAGTATGTGTCCATTCTTAGATGCACCTTTCATGATGTGGAACTCTCAACAAGAATACCTGGTCATTGGAAATACATTCCGTATCAACTTAAAGAAAAACTGAGTTATTGTATGAAATCTAAAGAAAGGACCATAAGTATTACACAGCAAATTGGATCTATCAAACATGTGTCTCACTCTCAGGCACGCTTCTCGTTTCATCAATTTCTGACATTTGCAAATGCATAAAAATATCGAAAATGGACTCTGTGGAGAACATATAAATTAAGACAATATAAACCTTTCGTCTCCGATTTCATCATCTTCAATATCGCCCTCGACGGCGCTTGGATCCTGGTCCAAGTCTGAACTCATGTCGTGCAAAGAATCTGCATCCGCCATGTTCGCCTCCTTGAAGCTTCGGAGTGAATGTGTATTTGAATTAAATCGGAAACTTCCATATGTTGCATTATTATACTATAATTTAGACATTTTAAAATCATATACGCCTGATTTCAAGCTAAGAAGATTTTATTTGATTATATCTAAAATTGAAATAAATTAATTCCGCACTTTACGCATGCGCAACGCACATGGCAACAGGCACGCATATTGACTCTTTTACCGAGGGCAACAAAGCAGCCGGAGTATTTGCGCAGAATGGCGTCAACCAAGAGGAAGTGTCAAGAAGAAATCATCCAGACACTGAGGAAAAATAGCAGGAATGGAACAGGACCGCCATGTAGATGTATGTACTGATAACATTTCGAAATCGAAGAATTTGAAAGGTGTTTGCAATCCGCGGGTTACATGTCTTTTATTTATTTACATTTTGTAAGTTAATTTTTGGTTTGTTTTGTTCTAGAGATCGACACTTAAATAAATGCTAACAATTTGCTTTCTTCCTCCGTTTACAAACATGAATAGTTAAATAGGTTGCATGGTTCTTACAACAAGAAAATGAACAATTACAACAGAAGCACCTGTCATTATGGATGCCCTAAATCGTTTCTTCTCTTGGAATGATTGGCTGAACCTCAGAGTACCTTTTCCGCAAAGACCCGTTTTATTAGTAAATGTTAAGGGTTTTCACTGACAGCTATATCCGCAAAGATCCAAATGCTTTTGCAGTGATTATTCCGAGTAAATGTTAAGGGTTTTCACTGACAGCTATATCCGCCTTGCTTAAACTATCCAAAACAAATGCTATCATGACTGCAGTGATTATTCCGAGTTTTTAATAATTTTCAGTTGACGATGCAGAAATCATTTCACTCCTGGAGATGTTCTCAGAAATCTGTGCCAGCAAAGGCACCCCAGAGAAAATGGATAGAAACAGATTTCGGGATGAGCTGCAAACCTGTTTCAAAATCACAGACGACTTCCTGATGGATAGAGGTTTGAACTACAATACTATCACACACAATGTATCATGCGATCCTCTATTATTGCGGTAGTTGTCGCCATCGGGATTATGAACCCCTACTTACATTTGGCATTTCATATGTATTTTCAGTTGACTGATGTGTAATCTTCATTTCTGTCCCAAATAATTTGGCAGATAATCACAACTCGTTCAATACGATCGCAGCAATCCCGATTGCCTCGTTTGACCCAGAAATTGAAGCAACTCTCTATTATCGCGGTATTGCTATTTTCTTACTATGGCATGCGGTACAAGCAAAAGACACTGTAAAACGGTTACTAAGACAAGTAACGAATCTAAATAGTTTTATCATTAAATTATTTTTTTATGAATTTCATTCACATGAGTAATATCATCATGTTTTTTAAACGAAACATCTGAAACTTCTATTCATTTGGATACAATGTAACAAAATAATGTTTTCCGCCTTAAAACGTACCATACAATTTGCTGCCATGTGCAGGGTGAATTTGCATAATACATCACTTCCTGTTATAATTTTAGGACAGAAAATATGCAAATGACCTTATAGTGGTCGCTGGGTTACTCTTGACAAAGTAAGTTTTGATTCATGCTAGATGATATGGCAGTAGGGGTCAAACTAGTTTCAAAATGTTCCAGAACTTACTGAAAAGTTGAATACTTTAATATTTCTACGATTAGACATGACATTCCAATGAAATAAATGACTTTTTCAAGAGCGATGAATATTTTTCACATAATTTGCATATGTAAACAGCCGATGTGGCGCGAGTTGTTTCTGCTTTCCCAATGTTTTCATGTGCTGCAATAATAGAGAGCCCGCGATAATAGAGAGTTCCAGTATACTGCCTACAATGTCAGTTATCACAAATGTTATATTGAAACTTACACTCTGTCAGTCAGTCCCATCTGGATCTGGGATTCAAATCAACACTATCAGAGTGATTCACCTAATGGCCAGTAATCAAAATATCAGTAATCTAACCCACTGAGCCACAGAGGCTTCCCAAAAATGGAAGCCTGACAACTGGTAGTTCAGATCACATACCCCTGTGTGACCCTGTGATAAATAACTTGACACATCTACTGACAATGTCAAAGTTCGGACATTTTCATCCGTATCGCTACTCAGGCTAAAGGGAAGTAACTCTTTTCTGAAGTCATAATCCTTGCTAATTGGTACTCAGAAGGTTTGAAAGTTTGGCACATGCAACATGTTTTATTCAAAACTTGTTGCGACTATTGAAGCTATTGATTGGTATGTTTTTGACAGTACCAGTAACATTTATTTTTTCTTTCAAAATTGAACAGTATTAGTGAAAAACAAGTGCTTAACATCGAGTGTTTGATGTATGATTATATTCAGAGTTATAAAGGACTTCTCAACCAGTACTTTGTTGATGAAATCACACCTAAATCTTTCTGTGAACTTTCTCAAGCTCATGAGTAGTTTGATGGGGTAGCTGTATTTGTGTTTGTCACTGTTAGCCAAAACAAAGCTGGAGAAGCACATGGATATGTGATATATATCATTATAGAATGGAGATATCTTACTCTGGCTGTTTGAGGAGGTTAGATTGCATGTGGGATAATTTCAAAATACTAGGTGAATCTAAGGTCCACCTACTTGATCAGATGTCCTTTCAAGACCTGGGATAGAGATGTATAGTGTTCAGAATGATGAGAGATACTCATGATGATCATGAATTTATCTGAAGTATGTTCTTTGGATCAATAAAAATGAAATTTCTCCCTTGTTTACACACATGACACTGGGGAGTGTTCAACATTGAGAAACCTGATTTGTGCACTTCCTACTGTTGTTAGCTGGCTTGCTGCCAATAACTGAAAGCCAGTAATGTATTATGTTAGTTGTGAGCAATCAGAATTTAGAATGGTTGCTGAAAAGAAAGAATTATAGCACTGATACTTGTTATTTGCGGTTAATATAGCCTTAAAAATGAAGGAGCAGTGTGGTTAAAGCGTTCACTCGTCACACCAAAGACCCGGGTTTGATTCCCCACATGGGTACAATGTGTGAAGCCCAGTTCTAGTGTCCCCATCGTGATGTTGATGGAATATTGCTAAAAACGGCATAAAACCATACTCACTCACTCACTCACTCACTCAAAAATATTAGAAAAACAGTGTCACTGGGTATTATAATTTTAAAACTCTGACTGTAAGAGTGCAGTGGAGACAAGTGGTACTTATTTTAATCCTGCCATTGTGTATTTATCTCTGCCATTGGCGTTCAACAACAGTGAAATTTATACCCTAGCTGTAGCCTGAAGTGCATTTCTGCTTTGCATCAGAATCCAGTTTCTGACTACTGACAATATTGACATAAAAGTCACATGCTTATAGGTGGATTTTAAATAAAATTTATGTAAATCTAGTCTTTGCTGATTGCAAATTTATATACTTTTGTCATGTGGAGAAGGGTAGTTATTTAAAGGGCAAGTGTACACGAAAATAAACCTTTTTGTCTTGCACTTTTTCATCATGAAAATTGTTTGTCAAGTAGTTTTATATCCAAACCCGTACATATATCAGAAGTAACTAATTTATTTTTTGCGTTATATCAATTCATATTGTCAACATTTACCGAGAGTTCTGTGTCCCCAATAAACACACCATGGCTTATGTCCCTTGGAAATGACGTCATTGGTGCCCAAATGATAAATAAATGACGTTGTTAGACCTTATTAGACCCATTTCACGTGGTGCAGGTATAGATGCGGTTCTTGTGTCTCGATGCGCAGGCTACTGTTTTAATCCACCTGTTGCCTGGCCGTCAGCTGGCTATGTCATCAGTTCTACACTGTAATGACGTTGCAGTTTGAAAAAACGTATACATCGTACTAAATGTGTTACCACGTAACCAAATTGTATAACATTCAACCTGTGTCGGTCGCCTTTTCAACGGTATCTTTTTTCACAAAAACTAAAATGTGCACTACATCTAGCTTGCCATCGGCGAATGTGACGGCATTCTACACTTGTTGCTAAAATTACAATATGTCCCTCCTCTTCCACCTTCACTTTGATATTGATACCATATCCATGTACATCACGAAAATAAAATAATGCAATTTGCACTTTTTAACTCTGTTTGAAATTCGTTTTTCTATATCATCCCCTCATTGTAGATCAAATATACTGAAAATAACATGCATCGTAAATCTTGCCAGGTTTGACACATTACTACATCACCATTCACTGCGTTTTGCATGTCTTAATTCAAATGTCAAATTTTACTGGGAGAATTGAATTTAAAAGAAAAAGACCTATCATTGTGATCAGCGGTAGTTTTGTTGTTGTATGATCAAATCACTAATGCTCGTTCTGAAACATTGTCGATGAACCGAGAATCGCTGAGAATGTTTTGGAAAATACGCTTGCAAACACAATTAACGTCAAAGTGAATTTTCAGCCATTTTACAGAGTGTTTATAAAATCACGTCACATGTATGTCGGCTATATTTCGCCCATAAAATCAATTGTATATAGTTCACCACCATCTTCCTGACACAAATCCCTGAATTTCTCATACAGTTCAAAATAAACTGACAAATGGACTTTGTCACCAATTCGAAGTGTTTCAGTGAAATCGAACGAAATATATCAGATGCCGCGGTGGGAAAGGACCACTTGTTTGAAATGTAAACAAAGCCAATCTCAGATTTTACACTGTGTATCCGCTCGCCTACTTGTTGCATACACATGCTCATTAGTGTTAGAACATGCATGGGAAAGGTATCGTAGCAAGCGATAGTTAAATAAAATAGGTGTATTCGATTGATTTTCTAGATTCATCACAACATATCATGGTTTCTGAAAGCGTGACGCCATGACTGATGCAAACTCAAGCACAACGCACAACGCACAACCTGCCATGATGTTGGTGGAATATTGCTTAAAACAGCATAATACTCAAACTCACTCACTCACTAAGATCTTGGTTGTGTTTTGTCAGTTTTCAGAGCATTTGACCGAGACAACGACAGTGCCCTGAAACAGGAGGAGTGGGTGTTGGGGCTTCATGTCTTCCTCAGGGGAGATTTAGAAGACAAGATAAAGTGTAAGTCTTCACTTGTGGGATTGTTTGTTTTCTCAGTGATACATATACACTGAACCCTAAAGGCAGGGGTTGGGAATATCTTAGGGATATTTTTATAAGTTTTAGTGTTTAGTTTTCACTTTGAAAAATATCCCCAAGTTTATTCATGATTCCTAACTTTGTTCATTCAGAGTACATAGTAGTTTCATATCCCATAGATATCTTATTGACTTCTAAAATTGATTCACAAGAATTGCAGTTCAAACCTGAATTTCATTTGTGATATTTTTAAAAAGAAATACTGAGGGAAATAAATAAGGGAACACCACTTCATGGCAGTGTTCCCTTATATATTCTCAGATTTCCCACAGCGATATTCAAAGCTGGTGATGAAAACTGGAAAATATTGAAGGAACACTTGAATTTTCCTGTGTTCCTGGATATGGCTGGAATATTGCTTAAAGCAGCGTAAAACCATACTCACTCACTGTGTTCCTTTATTTGTTTCTCTCAGTATATATACATGATGACAGTATTGATGTTACTGTGCTGAGTGTGAGTGGTATAGGTTTGCCCTGATCATGTTAACAGAATCCACGTAACATCAGACTCATACTCGTGTGTTTTCACAAGTTGTAAATTTGTAAGATCTGCATCACTGTGGGCTTTCCTTAAGCTTATATGGTGAATCGTGTAACTGGAATGCTCTTCAAAGCTGCTGAGTGGTAAATCTCACTCTTTGACTCTGGGCTCTATGTTGCATACAAATTTGTAGGGATGCCACGATACATCGATGTTAAGTTTTGAAAGTATCGGTTTAAATATGTTTATGTATCGTTTACATTTTCCAATTGTATCATGTTTTTTGATGTTATGAGAGTTATAAATTATTATTTTTCATGCACAAAGATGGGAATTTATAACTTTTTAATCTCTGAGAATCAAAAATGTTGATCTTTTCATGGACAATTATAAAATATGAAATATTAATGTTCAAAATATAACTAAATTTACGCAATAATGATGCGAAAATAGGTATTGTGATACATATCAAATCGTGACATGGGTATCGTGATACATATCGATTCATGAAACTTATGTATCGTGACATCCCTACAAATTTGTCTGAATGAGAATCTGTCAGACTGAAGCTGAAGCACAGTGATTTTGATGGAGACAAAAGGATTATGGACATTTTAATGATTTTCTTTTTTTAAATTTTAATATTGCATTCGTAGGTATCATTTCGTTTGGACTATTTGACAATCGTTCAATGTCCTAAAATAATTAGAATCAATCCTCAATGTCATATATGCTGTTGTTTTCAGATTGCTTTTTGGTGTATGATCTCAATGGAGATGGCTACATCTCTAGAGAAGAAATGTTTCACTTACTGAAGAACTGCCTCTATAAGGTATGTCCTGGTTCTTGTTTTTTTCTGAGATATCAGTTGGGGCGGGAATGTGACAAAGCTTTCTTACAGCTCACTCATTAATCACCCGTGTGATACACTGTGCAAATTTCGGTGTTAGCATTTTTCAGTGTTTGGCTGTTCGTCATTATGTTTGTCAAATTTTCAATTTTGTTGTCGAATTTGTGTATCGTCCCAATCCTTGTGAAGAGTTGCATCCCTTTTTTTGTGCCAGGATCTCCTGATCAAAAGTTTTAATCCAAAATGTGATCAAGATGCTCCTTGATTGGTGAGCACCACATTGGTAAATGCCCACTACTTGTGTCTTGGTAGGTTTTGTCTAAGTGACTCAGTGATTTAAATGCTGTTCTAAACAAAGTTGAACCAAGTTTGACTCAAACAATTGTGAATGTCATAAAAATTCATGGAGTTGGTTCATTATCAATACACCACCAGTGTGTGTCATATTAAAATATTTCAGCTGGTTTGTTTACTTTGTAAGTACCCTGTACATGTGTGTGTTGAGTTTAGTCAATTTGATATGAGATAGGTTGGTTGGTTGTTTGACGCCACACTCAGCAGTATTCCAGCTATAAGGCGGCAGTCTGTAAATAATCCAGTATGGACCAGACAATCCAGTGATCGATAGCTTGAGCATCGATCTACGCAATTGAGATCCGATGACATGAATCAACCAAGTCAGCGAGTCTGACCACCCGATCCCGTTGGTCGAAGCTTGGTTCAAGGTTTGATAAATAATAATAATATATTTCTATAGCGCCTAACTTCCATCCATACCACTAAGTTGGCTCAGTGGCGCTGTGTACAGGTGATATAAGAAAAGTCATTCAGTGAGAAAAGAATGGCAATATTGTATGAAGTGTATCATGTTGCAGTCCACTCATATCATCTGGGGGTTGGTAATACAGACCAACATCTCTGTTTTGTAGACATACGTTCTGCCATAACCCCTGAATACATGTACCTACCTGTTGGTGGTGTCACTATTTGAACAAACAAAATAATTCAGTGTGTGGCTCAGGCCATCCTCTTTTCCAGTGTAATAAATATCCATTCTGTTACGATAGTGTTTGAAATAAAAGGTGTCAATGGGTCATCTAGGTCATCTAACATCAGGGCTGTGACCAGGACCCTATGGTGACATTTCACAGCCATCCAATCAAATTATTCCGATGAGCAAGAGAAATTCTATGCTAAAAGGGAAACAGGAATGATGGAGGTGGTGATTTCACTTCAGAAAAATGTAACAGCTATGGTGGGTAATGGGTCCTGATGGACATATAATGCACATGATAACTGAGGATGGATTCAGAGGAGGGAATTTGTCCCACTTGACAACGTGGATGTAGGAAGGGCTGTTGCAGGTCATGTCACTTCCACTTCAGGAATATCTTCTCACTAAGCATGCCACTGCAACACTGATTCTTTCCCGCCTGGATTACTGCAACAGCCTCCTCTATGGCATTTCTAAAGATCACCTTCACAGATTGCAAAGACTGAAGCTGCAAGGCTAGTTACTGTGACTTCAAACCTGGTCAAATCACTTCACTGGTTACAAGTCCATGAATGAACACAATTTAAAGTCTTGCCTACCAATCAGTCCACAAGATTTCCATATCTTCAAACTCTTACAGCAGTGTATTAACCTTCCAAAATAATTTGTTCACCTGATAAATTCCTGCTTTCTATACCTACATACAAGTTGAAGACATCTGGTGTCAGACCCTTCAAACACTCAGCTGCTGTGCTATAGAATACTCTTCTCCTTAACCTCAGATGCGCACCCTTCTTGACTGCCTTTAAATCTGGCCTAAAGACCCATCTTTTCCTTAATCACTGACAATTGTCATCTTTTTAGTTGTATGCCTGTGTGGCATGGACTTCAGCAAAAAATCCATGACCTTATTATTATTATTATATTATTATTATCGATATACTGACGAATAGAAGGCCTAAATGTCAGTTTTGTGAAACAAGATGCTTTGTTTTATATTCTCCTGATTACGTGAATATTTATTGAGTAAACGTTTGTCTTCCAGCAATCGTCAGAGGAAGATCCTGATGAAGGTGTGAAGGATCTGGTGGAAACAGTGCTCAAGAAACTAGTATGTGTATTTGTGACATATACCCTTTTGAAGTCAGAACTGTAAACCTATCGTTAATACTAGGTCATTTCTGAGTTATAAGGAAAGATGTCTTTTACCTCAACGGCAATGTTTCAAGTTCAGCCTCATAATCATTGTCAAAATCTGAAGTTAACAGTTAAGATTATATGGGTTGTAAGCATACATCAAGGATTTTAGGGCTGCTTAGATTTCTTACACTGACATGTATCTAAACTGTTTTCTTACAATAATATGATTAAACATTTCGTGAAACTATTTATGAGGAACCTTTTGACCTTATGTTTGAACTGTTTTGCTTCAAGATTTTATCAAAAATATATTAGCTCCAGGGCAGATAGATAAATGGTATTTTTGTGTGTAAATATCGCCTGTAGTGTTGTGTTTTTATGACAGGACCAGGACCACGATGGTCGAGTAAACCTCATGGACTATCGGAAAGCTGTCACAGAAACCCCCTTGCTACTGGAGTCACTTGGACCCTGTCTGCCTAGTCAAGCTGTGAGTATTTCAAGGTTATGGTCAGTTCAAGTGACCCGTGAAGATCCAGGTTAGAATTGGTCTTAACGGGGTCAGATGGTCAGGTGCACTGACTTAGTTGACACATGTTATTGTATCTTAATTGTGTATATCAATGCTCATGCTGTTGGTCAGTGGATTGTCTGGTCCAGACCCGATTATCTACAGGCTGCTGCCATATAGCTGGAATATTGCTGAGTGCGGTTTAATCAACAACCAAACAAAGTTCAGGTCAGGCGATGGGGACAACAGAGCTATCATTGAGTCCAACTTGTTGTTTGGCTTGTGGATGTTCTAAGTTCAACAGTGGTAACTTATGTTTGAATCGTCTACTCTCTTTTATCTGTTCCCAACATCTGAAAATCTTGCCAATTGGTCCTGTGAAATGGATATCTAATTTATAATGAATGTCTAAACAGTATTAATCAGAACAGTTTTGTTAGTTGTTTTTCTCCTCGTTCTGATTACAAGGGGGATTCAATTGTCAGTGAAGCACATGTCATCCTTCACAACTGTGAGAGTTCATTTTAAACGTGGGGTGGTGGGGTAGCCTAGTGGTTAAAGCATTCACTCCTCACGCCGAAGATCCTGGTTCGATTCGCCACATGGGTACAATGTGTGAAGCCCATTTCTAGTGTACCCCAGGAATATTGCTAAAAGCGGTGTAAAACTTAACTCACTCACTCATTTTAAACACACAGAGTGGAAAGAATTGATAACTTCAAAATATATATATCGAGGCACTAGGTTACCAATTAACACCTGCAAGTCTGAAAACACATAATGTTTAGGTGGTGAATATACAATTATATACTTTTCCTCAACTTCCTTTTCAGGCCTGCAATGAGTTCCTGGCATTGATGCATGGTAACCTTGGACAGCGTAGCGGAATGGGTAGACATCACAAGCAGGATGAAGAGAACAAGATGATCAAGCACAGGAACAAAGAACAAAAGGGAAAGACTCAAAGGAAATGATAGAGGTCTGATTAGAAGTTTGTAAATGCTCTGCTGTCCCCCAAGATCAGGGTGAATTTTCCATCTCTTTGTTTCAATGCTCATCTGGCAATTATAATTAAATTGGTTCTAGGTAATACTTTACCTTCTATGGACAAATGTTACAAATTTTGAAGATACTCTGGTTGTTTTGTTAGGATGTTTCAGGCAGATATATTTATCAATATATTAACATTTCTAGTCTGTTTGCATCCAGTATAAAATAAATCACGTTAATTAAATCATTTTGATACGGTCTGTAAATGAGATGTTGCATTCTTAAGTTGTATGAAAGAATTGATAATGATCATGCACCCTAACAAAATGTTTTTCAGCAACTGTTTTGCATTTGTTGTGTGTCTTTAGTTTTCATTTGTGCATTTGAATTCATCAAGTCATATTTCATATATCTTAAACTGTTCTGTTATGTGTATTTACATTTCCATCTGCCAAACATTGTGTCTACTCTTGATCTGAATCAACTGTAGTTCGAGGATGTTTTTAGTTTATGTGTATTGTGTGACGAACAATTTATTTGTCTTCATTTAAGGGGACCAGTAGAAATATTTAACTGGGACTTTCCTATAAAACAGTATTTGTTTGTTCAGCATCTGTTGTACATATTTGTATAATATAACCAACTTGTGTAGTTTGGAAATAAATGATTTTACAAATAAATACATGTAATTTCTGAAATGTTTGAGCAACATTCAAGATATATCATGGCAATCTGCAAATTATGCTTCATGTATTGCTGGTATCTTCTGTCACTTTGGGTGAGTGAGCGCGCATTCAGCAACATTCCAGCTATATGGCTGCAGTCTGTAAATAATAGAGTCTGAACCAGACAATCCAGTGATCAACAGCATGAACATCGATCTACACAATTGGGATACGACCAAGTCAGCGAGTCTGACTGCCCAATCCCGTTAGTCGCCTCTCGTGACAAGCATGGGTTACTGAAGATCAATTCTAACCTGGATCTTCACGTGTCTGCAGCATGATGACTTAGTACTAGACCATTGTCGCAAACAAATTTGATCTTCACGTGTATTGTCTCTTTGACTCTTCAATGTCACGTGAGATGTTGTCAAAAAGGACACAAGAAAAGAATAAGCTTCTAATTGATTTTATTCAAGAAGCCCTGTGGGGACAACAAAAAATGTCAGATCATATTGCGGGTGTAAAAGGCAGTTACTACAAAAGCGAGATTCAGACAAAATACTCCACAATACAGGGAAGCCCTCAATACATAAGCCAAAATAGAGTTGCCTCCCTTGTAACATGATTCCAGTTTACACTGACGGATGATATCAATGCTGATGCAATTACTTTGCAAATATTTACACTGATTTGATGAAGTGGTTGTAAAAAAGCTATGCAAACATCTAATGCACTCACTTGATGTGAATAAGTCATATATGTCTCTGACAGATTCAGTGAAAGCTGACCATAACTTGCATGATTTTCAGAGTAGACTTTTCAACTAGCTTGACATATAAAATGGCATTTTTTCCTTCAGTTATATTTGCAACACTTGAGATCCAATTCCATATTTTCAGAATTATTTCACCTCATTTCCAAATATGTATATCCTATTCCTCATATTTGACTAAGCAACATAGCTTCGATAGAGCATCTAAGAGATACTTCCGCTGGTATTATACAACCTCAGAGATGACAGGTAATACAATGTTCTGGTGAGATAACTAATAGAAAACTTGTTGAAACCATCAACATTTGACACACAATCCTTGTCATGACATTTCTGTATCAGCAGCTATAGCATATGGGACTACATGGCAAAACACTGACAAATACATGGAGAAACCACATACTTGCATCAACAGCAAACCAACATAAATAAGACTGCAATCAACATATACATCGATTTCTTCAATCTCTTACTGTACATTCAAAGCAAGACTGCTGGCCAAAGCTTGTGAAGGTCACAAACAATATTTATAAGTATACTATACAATGTTTATAAGCCAGAAACTGATATAAACACAATGACAACTTGTGTCCCATAACTTATGTATAAAAGGCAAAAATGTACAATAAAACAATATGAAATAATAAAAGCAATTCACTTCAGCATGTACATATTGCACAATTCACCACAGAGTAAATATGTCATCTTCCTCTGTACAATAATAAGTCCAAATATTAACAAAACTTGCTTGTCAGGCTCAAAATCTAACTAAGACTAACTAAATCTACTTTGTCATAAACTGCTTTTAATTATTGTTTGCATAATTCTTCATAGTTAAACCATGACATATACAACCTTAACTTCAACAACATCCTAATCAGCACAATTTCATGTCTAGGTATCATGTAGATTTTCTGTCATGAACATATGGTCAGAATCCAAATAATTCCTCACAGGATACAAAATTGCAGTGAATATTGGTTGAGCTGGAAGGTGGGTTGTTATTAAGTTGATGATATGATGCAAACCAGCGATGGCATGAGAATGAGTGGAAGCCAATTTTCTTTGGTCTTGTCCTTGGAAATTCAGTTGAGTGAAGACTCAAGACTTACAAAGTTTGACTCAATATTCACACGTTTTCCAATGGTGTTTCTGACAATAAGAAAAGTTGAAAGAATTAATACACCACCATTGTACTGCTGGTAATTAGAATTCTATTTTACACAAACACCCTGCAGATTTACACAGTGTCATTCAAAAGTACTTCAAAAGACATTACTTTGAAAATATACTTATTTAAAGTTTTGTAAATTCCCTAGATCAAAGTTTAATTGTATTAAACATTTCTTGATGCAACCCTATTTTAACAGCTACATGAACTTGAAAACTACAACTTTGATGATTATTCACCAAACTGAGTTTCCTGTGTGTGGACAATGTGACAGCAGGTGATATTGCATATAGTCTCCTTGTGCTTGTAACACCAATAATCATAATGACTAGATTGATACACTTGCATGTTTTCACACATCTTCTCAATGTTCTAATTCACAAAAGACATTCTTTCAGCTACTTGAAAACTTCAAAATATGTTGTCAGTGTGAAATCGTTATTGATGGTGATTATGAATTCAACACCATACACAGAAGTATTAATGCTATGCTGAACATGATCAATTTTAGGAAAATCTTGAATTGGTACTGGTAAACTAGTTCATAAACCTAAACCGCACTAAACACACATACAATATGGCATGGAAGCTGGTCATTTGAAACAAGTGGCACATACAAGAAGGTCCACCACACATACAGGTACCAGCTACACAGTGTAGTAGTGTCAATAACCTGGTAGAGTAAAGTCACAACACTCGGCAAGTCACAACACGAATGGTTTATACAGCAAGGCATTATGATGTATACTGACTGGGAGTGAAATGTACACTACTCTATTTCATGTCAATCATTCACAAGGACAACGTTAATTCACAAGCACTTGGTGTAGTGATAATCTATATGTATACAATATAAAATCAAACATGAAACAAATGTACTTTAAAATACAAATGTTTTTATCTTGCAACTTACATAAAAAATACTGAATATTGTTAATTTCATAACATAACTGAAGATTTGGATTCCAAGTGTACATGGAATAACAACTTCTATACCCAAACTAAGAGTGTGTAGGTTTAACATCAATGCAAGAAGATGCTTGTCCATATATCTTATCATTACCTAAGACTGCTATTTATCAAATTCAACAAAATAGTTCAGTAATACTGTCACAAACTAATTTCTAATCAACTCATTATGTTAAATAATTTCATGCCGTGTCAGCAGATATAACAGATGTCTATTCTTAATAATATGGTTACTAAAATCAATAAATAATGCTGTTTGGTGTAATATGAAAAAAAGTGTAAATCAAGTTATTCTACTATGATGTTGACACACAATATAATCACAGGATATGAATGACGACCAAATTTAATGGGGTGAACAGACGATAATCTACACTGGTTTCACACAACTGCTACCATGGAAATTCTTACAACATGATCAGAATAAAAGAATGATTTATGTCAGATCGGTGTAGCTAATTTCCAGGAGTATTGTTTGGAAACTAAGTAGAATTATTATAACTTGTGTTTTTCATCTTAAAATATACATGTTGAAAAATGTATGGTGTGTTTTAGCTAGAGTTCAAATTCAAAATGACTTCTAAATACATTTGTGTCAGTGCTATTTCTGTACCCAAAACTATAACAATAGTTCAGGTGTTCATGAATTATTACCTTGGCTATTGACAGCACAATTATGGTACTTAATATGGTCCTTTAAATGTAATGAATGAATAAATAGCCTTAAATATTAGTACAAAATAATCATATGTATCAGTGAGTAAATATTTTCTACAATGAGACATTTTGGGTACCTGTAAAATATAAGGTTTGTAACAAGGTATAGTAAAAAGGACATGATAAAATCACTGTATACAGATTAGGATTGGTCAAGACAATTCACACTCTAAATATTTTCTACATTTGTGAAAATATTGAAAACATTTGATAATTAATATTCGATATAAGCATTCATTTCGAAGAATTTAGACCCTGTACAACCAAAACAAAGATTCACAACTGTCAGCATTATCTGCCACTGAGAATAACAATCTGTCTGAAGGAGAAAAATGCCAAATGCATGAATCACCTGAATCAAATCTTGGTCTTTTGGCATATGCTTGGTCAACAAATTCAGAGATATTCCAATCTTGAATTCATAATAAAGCTGTTGATGGCATAAAATTTAATGATATGAAAAACATTTTTTGACATAACAATATTCAACTAAACATATCACTTCCACTTATACCATATTTGAGCTCCAAAGCACCCCATTCCTCACGCCAATATATACGTAGTGAGATGAGAGTGGTCTCCCTTGCTTTCTTCAGTAACCAATTTCCTCCTCTGACAGCACGTTTGTTCAGCTCTCTACTGTTGCAGCCATTGGTCTGTGCTTCCCACTGTGCAATGAACTTACCAGTCATGCCTGGATTTGAACAAACTTACAACCGTCTGACCAGTTAATTTACAAACAAGACATTATTGTTTTGATAAACATATTTCACCAACAAGCATGTTTGTCAATTTTAATTCTTTTCATTTCAAACATCATGTTATTAGTATAGTGAAAATGAAAGGGGAAGTTGGGTGACTTTCCCACAGACAATAACAAAAATATCCACACCACTACAGTTGAGTTTGAGGTAAAGGTTTACAAATTTCCTTGAAATGACTGCATCAACCCAGCTGGCAGTGATAATAGTGGGAGTGTAACAAAAGTGTCATGCTGGAACCGACATAGTCCCATAAACACACTTACTCTAATGACTGCTGTCAATATAAAGATTTTCTGTCAATTTATTTCAAGATCTTTCCCTAGAAGCAACGGAAATTCATGTTGGATTGCATTTACATTCTTTTGTAAAATGTCCTGAATATTACAGTATTTTAGTACATCAATTAGCAAGTGTGTATGGTTTATGCCAGAATCTCAGCATTATACAGCAATGTTAGAGTTTACGTTGGAGGAAAGCTGAAAGTGATGAAGGTCTCGGGCATTAATGACTTTGGTTGAACCCACAACAGCTGAATGTAACAGGAAGGCCAGAAGTGCTGCACGTCACAGACATTCCTCACTTCAGCGAAACCTGTGAGCACTGGTACGGTGCTGACGAACCGAGAATCCTGATTCAGAAGGTAGAAGGACTGCAGTACATGAGTGAGTGAGTGAGTTTAGTTTTATGCCACACTCAGCAATATTTCAGCTATATGACGGCGGTCTGTAAATAATTGAGTCTGGACAAGACAATCAACAGCATGAGCATCAATCTATGCAGTTGGGATACAATGACATGTGTCAACCAAGTTAGCAAGTCTGACCACCCGATCCCGTTGGTCGCCTCTTACGACAAACATGGGTTACTGAAGATCAATTCTAACCCCGATCTTCACAGGTTGCAGCACATGAAATTGAGCCATTTTTTCCACAGTTTATCATACAGGTCTACATGACAAACATTCCTCTCATCTCAGTACATTTTACATAACAAGAGTAACCTTTGATGCCAACAGCAGGATTATGAGTGTTAATGCTGGAACTCACAGTGACCAGCAACTGTCTTTTCACATGCTGTCCTCTGAAGATCTCTTCAGGATGGGAGCTATACCAAGAAACAGCAGTCATTGGAAACCCAAGGCAGGTTTACAACCACTGAATAATGTTATCCAAAAAACTACATGTACTTGACCTTTCAACACATATCTCTACAACAAGGCAAAAGTCAGTGAGTATTTGTTCTAAGCTATTCAACAAAGTGGGCATTCTGATATTATGCCACCATGACACCTTCGTTAACTGTTTCCTGACTGCTGGAGTCGGAACTGTGCTTGCTGACGCTGAGACTCACTGGACGTTTGGACTTGATCAGCGACTTTCTGTGATGTTTCTTCATGTTCTTCATGTCCACGGAGAAGTCCTGAGGTATTTCTTCCAGACTTCTATCTATGCACGGCTTGTTGCCGCTCTCAAAAGCATAATCGCGCAGAGTTCTCGACACGGGGATGGGACCTGTTGATGGGGTGCTTGCCATATCTACTTGTTCTCGCATAAATTTTGAAGCAGGTATTGGCCCAGTGGAGGGTGTGTTAACGCTGCTGGTTTGAATGGGACTTCGTTCAAATGTGCCTGCATCAATTCGTGGTAGTCCATCAAGTATTTTGTGAAGGTCTTGATGGTTGCCATCAACCACACGGTGACCAGCAGGAACCAGCTTTATCTGGTTTGGACCAGTTCTTATAACAGCACTATAAGAAGGTGGGGAGGCTGACTGAGACCGTGACTGTGATCGAGAGATGTCCTCAATGCTGAATCTCTCAGCATCATGTTCACTGCCATATCCCGAGCTCTTCTCATATCCGTTACGAGAATTTGAAGTGCCATTTAAAGAACTGTTCTCTCCAGTTTGACTTCCTAAAGGAGTCTCATTGTCTCTGTTTAATGGGGGCTGCCCAATGTTGAAAATATTTCTCAGATTGAGCGGGTTCATAGGTGGGGGGATATCAATCTGATGAGGCTGAAGTTCATTGTCCTCCCCAGTCTGATGGTCAACAGTATTAAAGTCATTACGCTTCAGCAGATATTGGCTGAGGTTGCCAAGAATTGGCCGTGCTGTGTCTCGTGTGCTTGAACTGGTGAAGGAGGTGGGACTGTGGTCGGACTGAGAGTGTGCACTGTGATAATGTCTCTCAGCCTCAGTCTCACTACTGCGCACATCCTCTGACGTACATGTTGATGGCGATATTTGAACAGGGGGTTCATCTGGTGAAGGTGACAAGTCTATAGTGTTTTTATCAATCTGGCGAATCAGCTCATCAAGATTTCTCAAACGCACAATTTTCGATCGGGGTGGAGAAATGGGATAACCAGTTCCCTTCCACAACAGAGGCTGATGCTGATAGTCTGTTGTCAGTGGCAGATCTAACCGCCCCAGTCTTCTTGGGGGTGGGGGTGAGGGGTGAAGGCAGGGCATCCCAAAGCTGGGATGGGGGGGCTGGGGCAACACAAAGTCGAAACTTGACGATTCAGGCAACTGATCTAGAGCATCAAGACTCTGTTCAAAGTCATCCTCTCCGAGAATTTCACGGATTTCTTCAGCTTCTAAATCATCATCTTCATCATACATATAAGGCCCCACACTCTCTTGATCTCCATTTGAGTCACTGCTTCTCCGGTTATCCTCCCCTGTCAGTCTCATCATGGAGTTTTTTAGGATTCCCTTTTCCGGGCGGGCACTGTTAGGGTCAGATATGATTATGGGAGGGGGAGGTAGCTCTCCGATGTCACTTTCATCTTCACTTGACATGCGCTTCTTCTTCTTCCCAAACAGAGCATCAGGCCTGAAAATACAAACCATTCTTTAAACGATATCTGTCAAGTTGGTCAATATGGCTGAACATTAAATGAACAACTGACTCGCATTTTATGCTGCTTTAACAATAATTCTACCTGTCAATTCAGGGGACAAAGTTTTAGGTTTTGAACATAACAAGCAAATGTTTTAACCACTAAGCTACCAACTGATCCTATGCTATGCAATAGATGGCAAGTCCTCTCTGCACTATCTCATTTAATGTTACCTTTGGTACACAATGACAATACCTTTACAATGTGACATCATATATTTCAGGGACACATGACCACATGCTATAGTGAGCGAGTGAGGTGAGTTTTACGCCGCTTTTAGCAATATTCCAGCAATATCTCGGCTGGGGACACCAGAAATGGGCTTCACACATTGTACCCATGTGCAGAATCGAACCTGGGTCTTTGGCGTGATGAGCGAACACTCGAACCACTAAGCTACCCCACCGCCCCGACAGGCTATGGATGTGACACAAGTCATATGGACTAAAAATGTAACACCACTGTACACTACAACGTGGTTCAAGATCACTGGAGGTCACTATTAGAGGCAGACTATTGAAGCTTGTTAGCTAGAAGCTGAGGGTGTTAGCAGCAGAGGGTTAAAATGCATGATCAGAAGCACCTGTTGAACTGTGTCTCATCTCATGTGAATGTAATCATAGATTCCATACACTCCTGTCAACTGTAAATATACACATAGATCTTGGTGACAACCAGTACCAGCTTGTAATAACTTAAGGTAGGACCTGCCTTCCACTCTCTCAACATATGTTCTATCACTTCTGGTAATACTCTGCTGTTCTATACTATGATCCATTATCTCACAAACAGGGTTTCTATGTTACTGCTTGTTGTTTAATGCCACAATCAGCAGTATTCCAGCTACATGATGACGGCCTATATCAACAGCGTGATTGTTAGATGTAGATGTGTTAGGTCTATGTGTAAGCAGTATTTTCATGGTTAGATGTAGATGTGTTAGGTCTATGTGTAAGCAGTATTTTCATTGTTAGATGTAGATGTGTTAGGTCTATGTGTAAGCATTATTTTCATTGTTAGATGTAGATGTGTTAGGTCTATGTGTAAGCATTATTTTCATTGTTAGATGTAGATGTGTTAGGTCTATGTGTAAGCAGTATTTTCATTGTTAGATGTAGATGTGTTAGGTCTATGTGTAAGCAGTATTTTCATTGTTAGATGTAGATGTGTTAGGTCTATGTGTAAGCAGTATTTTCATTGTTAGATGTAGATGTGTTAGGTCTATGTGTAAGCATTATTTTCATTGTTAGATGTAGATGTGTTAGGTCTATGTGTAAGCATTATTTTCATTGTTAGATGTAGATGTAGATGTGTTAGGTCTATGTGTAAGCATTATTTTCATTGTTAGATGTAGATGTGTTAGGTCTATGTGTAAGCAGTATTTTCATTGTTAGATGTAGATGTGTTAGGTTTATGTGTAAGCATTATTTTCATTGTTAGATGTAGATGTGTTAGGTCTTTGTGTAAGCATGTATTTTCATTGTTAGATGTAGATGTGTTAGGTCTATGTGTAAGCATTATTTTCATTGTTAGATGTAGATGTGTTAGGTCTATGTGTAAGCAGTATTTTCATTGTTAGATGTAGATGTGTTAGGTCTATACACAAGCGTTATGTCTCGTACAGGTGGCACCACTAGTTACCTGTACGAGGGAAGCACACCACCCAAGCCAATATATTTGGCATTCACAAACCCAGCCTTCTTCTTATCCATGCCACCATCTTTGCTACCCAGCAACCCCTTGGTCACTGCTGATTGCAGTTTGCTCGGGATGCGGCGTCTGAAGATAAAAAAACAAATACATTACATTCAAGAGATCGACCTTCGCCTTTTTTCATTGTTTCAAGAGTTCTTATGAATATTGTACATAACTATAAACCAGTTGCAGAAGGTGACCACCATATACTCAGAAAGGAACAATTATATCTGTAGCACAAGGTACACACCATGCAAGCAGCATACAAAGTATGTCACACCTGTAGCAGAATGTGAACACATTTCTTGATGAAGGTGAACATCCTACCTGTAGCAGAATGTGGATATCCTGCCTGATGCAGGTGAACACCCTACCAGTATCAGGAGGTGAACACCTCTCTTGATGCAGAAGGTGAACACCCTACCTGTAGCAGAATGTGGATATCCTGCCTGATGCAGGTGAACACCCTACCAGTATCAGGAGGTGAACACCTCTCTTGATGCAGAAGGTGAACACCCTACCTGTAGCAGAATGTGGATATCCTGCCTGATGCAGGTGAACACCCTACCAGTATCAGGAGGTGAACACCTCTCTTGATGCAGAAGGTGAACACCCTACCTGTAGCAGAATGTGGATATCCTGCCTGATGCAGGTGAACACCCTACCAGTATCAGGAGGTGAACACCTCTCTTGATGCAGAAGGTGAACACCCTACACCCTACCTGTAGCAGAATGTGGATATCCTGCCTGATGCAGGTGAACACCCTACCAGTATCAGGAGGTGAACACCTCTCTTGATGCAGAAGGTGAACACCCTACCTGTAGCAGAATGTGGATATCCTGCCTGATGCAGGTGAACACCCTACCAGTATCAGGAGGTGAACACCTCTCTTGATGCAGAAGGTGAACACCCTACCTGTAGCAGAGCATGAACACCCTGCATGATGCAGAACACCCTACCAGTATCAGAATGTGAACATCTTGCTGATGCAGAAGGTGAACACCCTAACTGTAGCAGACTGTGATCACTGTACCTGTAGCAGGAGGCGAACACCATTCCTTTATCAGAAGGTGAGCATGGTACCTGTAGCAAAAAGGTTAACAACATACCTGTAGCAAAAGAGTGTGAGGCTGAGGACAAGGACCAGACCGCCCACCACGGATGCCAGGATGATGATCAGCCACATTGTACTTAGGCCGTCCATCTCTGTCAATACAAAACACTTCAACTGTGAATCCATGCATCCAATGAACACTAAATGCTTCATGCTTCTTTTAATGATATGTAAAAGTCATGGATCTTCAAGTTGGTGGTTGGTGTGAAAAAATAGTTTTGATATAGCTCATGTGAGGGTAAAAGAAGAGTTTAAAATTTTGATATAGCTCATCTCATCTGTGAGGGTACTCAAAGAAGAGTTTAAAATGTTGGCTACAGAGTCACACTGAATCATAATGCTGTTGGATTTTCCCCCAGATTTTATTCTTGAGTAAGGTGAAATTGTTCAACATCTGAAGGCCATATGCCAACTGACAAGCACCAAACACAGCTGACTTACCTTTGAGTACTGGAGCAGCGGACGGATCAGCTGGAGTAGTGGCCAGTCGGTTCTCCGCCGGGTTAAGGGGGATAACTTGAATTCCTTTTGTAGTGGCGGATGATACTAGGCTGCTGGTTGTAACTGGCATGGTGGTTGTCATGGTAATATTGAGTTTAATCCTGCAGTCATATCCTCCCCAACCGCTGTCACAGTAGCAGGTGTCATCTCTGGTACAGACCTGGGTCAGAGAGTTCAAATCATTACATCATAGTCATACAATAGGGGGTATCTGTTTGGAAAGTTTTTGACTGGCTTTGGTTTGATGTCGATTAGAACAGTATTTCAATGATATTTGCTTGATGTGGGAGGCAAGCAAGCAAGTGACATATTTATACAACTTTCATGACATCAAGGAGAATGAGAATAGTGGACAGGGCAAATATCATAATCTTCAAACAATATAGTCTCTTCAAACCAACAATCTGCTGGAAAAAGAAAGATGTTCCACTGACCCCGTGTCCAGAGCAGATGATGGCGCGAGATGTTCCTGGGCACCCGAGAGGAGGGAGATGTTTGATGCGCTCACACCGTGCGTTGTGGCACACCTTGCCCTCCCCACACTTGGTGCCGTCCTGCACCAGGCCCATATGGGGCATGTCCATCATGGTTGGGCCGTGGACAATCCTGGAGGAGTGAGTGAGTGAGTGAGTGAGTGAGTGAGAGGATGAGTGAGTGAGTTTTATGCTACTTTTAGCAATATTCCAGCAATATCACGGCAAGTGACACTAGCAAATGGGCTACACACATTGTACCCATGTGGGGAATGGAACCTAGGTCTTCAGTGTGATGAACAAACACTTTAACCACAAGACTACCCCACCGCCCCAAATATGGTGGAAGAAGCAAGGACATCAACACACATTAGTAAATTATGTGAGGTCAAGACTTGATTTAGAAATGAAAACAACTTTTCTAACTGGTAATAAGTTATAACATGAGTTCATACAAATGAGATTATCTTTCCATTTTTATTTGATACTTTAGTGAGTGAACATTGTTTCACATCACTGTCAATGGTATTCCTGCTTTTTAAAACAGAGACCATAATATTTCCAATCATGCCATACAAAGCATGATTTTCTAACAGAGACAATGATCGAAGCCTCACTTCAAAATGGTTGCAAATGGCTGAACAGATACTGAACAGATACTTTTAAACTGTTTGTACCAGTATCAACTCATCATCATCAGCCTATCCGTACATGTTCTAATAATTATTGTAAGGAATACAGTTTTGCATCTTGACTTACTTGCACTCATATTCAATGCCTTTAGAGTTGACTGTTGTTTTGGAGAATCCCTGTCTGACCCAAACAATGGCTCCTTGTTGCCACCATCACAGTGAAGAAGACCACACAGGATGTCCCTGTAATCAGGGGAGATAACTCATTTAAAGGGAAGCTACTCCATGTAGTTTGGCATGAGAGTTGATTGAGGAGGTGAGGTGAGGTGAGGTGCATATGGGTTTATACAGCATAGCAGCTACATTACAAGCCATGGTGGTCTTGGAACATTCCATAAAGCACTTTTAGCACCATGACTCTCAGAAGTCAACATGCAGTATGAGAGATAGTTCTGATATTTTGAATGCTACAATTGTTTGTGAAAAGAAAGCCCTGCCAGGATTTCAGCCCCGACCAAACAACAAACCAGTGGGGGATACACTGAAAACAATCCGAGGCATCAAGGCAAGATAACACATAATTAGGAAAGTCATTGGTATTATTTAAACTCAGCAGCCATTATGACAACCAAATGTTGACATTTCTTTTGACAAGCAATGGGAACTAGGTTTGTTCTCCCATGCTCAAAGCAAGGAATGCCAGGGAATCAAGGGAGGTAACAATATGATACACCAACTGAAAACCTGTAAAATGACAATACTTTGAAATCTTTTTATCAATTTTTCTAATCATTATTTTAAATCATGCATATATTTAGCTTAAACATGTTGAAACAGTTACTAAAATAATGAGACTGATACATGTCTTACTATCTGACTTGATAATCTATTCATCTGATCACATTTTCTAAATTCTAACAATATGTAATTCAACCTTTCTGTGTTACGCAAGTATTCAGGTGACAAGTGAGTATACAGTTTGCAGAATCATCCACAGATTGATATTGTTCTGTTATCTTCACATCAGACTGAAAGCACCATATCTTACTCAGATGAACACTTTGCATAGTTGCCAGTGGTAACATCCTTGCCACAATGGCCGTTGAAGTTTCCTGTTGGGTTGAATCTCTCAAAACACTGGTCATCTCCTCCTTTGGCACCTGCAAGGGGAAACATCATTCCCTTTACAACCCTTTACAAATATTCAGATACAGAGTTAATGTCCCAATGGTAACATTACTTCACAGGTTGTACTGTAAGATCCAAACAACATCAATGGTTATGCATCCATCTGATCTCCACTCTGTGGAATTTTTTTTAACTGTTTTGTCTATATTTATAAAATTATCTTTGACATTTAGTGATGTAAAATACCTTCTGAAATGCTGCAAATAAATCAGGAAGTTGTGCCCATTTAAACAAGCAGGATGGAAGAAGTACATGTTTTCAATATGATCATAGAACAGATAAGGCAAAACACACCAGATACATTTGTTCCTCATCCGTAGTGTTCTCACAATATCTTGAAATATTTTATTTTTATAACAATATTTCAACAAATATATAATAAATATATTGTTGCAGCTGATTTATTTGCATATGAAGAGCAACAATTTAAAGATTCTACAACAATGAAACTGAGATTGCTCCAGTTTAGGTTTAACAGTGACAAGATATTGCTTTGTTTGTTGTTTTCACATCAGTTAGCCTGACTAAACGGTCTCATTAGCTGCATCAAGGACTTGAAACTCAGACCTTCAGAAGCACTGCAGTGGAGTGAAAGCATGCACTTATGTTTACCTTGTCCCCAGATGGTCTGACATTGCTGCTGAAGTGAGGGGCAGATGCCAGCCACACAGTAGCCTGTTCCATTCTTGCAGGGGTGGCCATCTTGAACGTAGTTGTTGGAGGGGCACTGCAAAGTCATAAGTATTGAATTATACAGCCTGGTATTTATTCATTGTTTTTATAATACACCTGTACAAAAACTTTACATATATCCATGTACACCTATTACTATTACATATGTAACACAGACTCAAGTCAGCTATATTTCTACCCAATAACATATACTATAGGAGTCTGGGAAGATCCAGTCAGTGGTTGACAGCATGAGGGACAATCCACACCACGGCACCACCATGACACATGATCAACCAGATCACAGTCAGTAACCACAAATCCACAATAGTCGGTGATCATGACAAGCACGGGGCACTGGGTAACCAACCCCTGTATGGCCACTCAGTCAAAGAAATATGAGTTGTAAATACTTCCTTACCTCTCCTCTTTCCCCATCACAGAACTCTGGCACATCACACTCTGTCTGTCTATCTCGACACATGTGTGTCCTGGGCAACACCTGCGAACAAGAACACTTGTGGGTACTTCAACACATAACTGATGTCGGTCATTTAGTCCAGGTGATTTTTTTAGTCTTTTTTTAGTCCATGGTGAAGGCATCTATATTGGCCTGAGGGTTACTTACTGGGTAGGTACTACACCAAGGATCAGAATGAGAATGGCCTGAGGGTTACTAACTGGGTAGATACTACACCAAGGATCAGAATGAGAATGGCCTGAGGGTTACTAACTGGGTAGATACTACACCAAGGATCAGAATGAGAATGGCCTGAGGGTTACTAACTGGGTAGATACTACACCAAGGATCAGAATGAGAATGGCCTGAGGGTTACCTGGGTAGATACTACACCAAGGATCAGAATGAGAATGAGGGTTACTAACAGGGTAGATACTACACCAAGGATCAGAATGAGAATGGCCTGAGGGTTACTAACTGGGTAGAATACTACACCAAGGATCAGAATGAGAATGGCCTGAGGGTTACTAACTGGGTCAGATACTACACCAAGGATCAGAATGAGAATGGCCTGAGGGTTACTAACTGGGTAGATACTACACCAAGGATCAGAATGAGAATGGCCTGAGGGGGGTAGATACTACACCAAGGATCAGGGTGAGAATGGCCTGAGGGTTACTAACTGGGTAGAGGATCAGAATGAGAATGGCCTGAGGGTTACTAACTGGGTAGATACTACACCAAGGATCAGAATGAGAATGGCCTGAGGGTTACTAACTGGGTAGATACTACACCAAGGATCAGAATGAGAATGGCCTGAGGGTTACTAACTGGGTAGATACTACACCCAGGATCAGAATGAGAATGGCCTGAGGGTTACTAACTGGGTAGATACTACACCAAGGATCAGAATGAGAATGGCCTGAGGGTTACTAACTGGATCAGTGAGAATAGGGTTACTAACACTACACCAAGGATCAGAATGAGAATGGCCTGAGGGTTACTAACTGGGTAGATACTACACCAAGGATCAGAATGAGAATGGCCTGAGGGTTACTAACTGGGTAGATACTACACCAAGGATCAGAATGAGAATGGCCTGAGGGTTACTAACTGGGTAGATACTACACCAAGGATCAGAATGAGAATGGCCTGAGGGTTACTAACTGGGTAGATACTACACTAAGAATCAGAATGAAAATGGCCCAAGGGTTATTAACAGGGTATTTGCTGTGGCAGGGGCTGGAGTGACACTGGCCAAGGGTTACTTACTGTGCAGTTACTACAGCAGGGGCCGGAGCGACACTGGGCCCAGTACCGCAGCAGACATGTGTCTGGGTCACAGCAGGGGTCATTCTTCAGACAATCCTGGAACATTAATACAACATGGTTCTGAGTGGCAATAAGACATTTCTTAGAACATTTACACAGTCTGTTACCTAGTGACACATGTCCAGCTACAGTGGTGATAACATATCAACATTGGTCCCATGATTATCTCATATACATGAACCTATCAATATTCTGATCGATGTAGATTTTAACTGTTTTACTCAACATGTAGTGTTTTATAATACCAAATTTACAGAAAGTGTAGAAGTATATGGTGGTGCCTAAATCTGACAACTCATCTGTATATGTTCACATCCATTACTAATGTATGTGTTTTGTGATAATGTATGACGGATGCACACCTCCTCAGACCCACAGTCACACTCCTCCCCTCTCTCCACGATACTGTTGCCACAAGTTTGGGGGAAGTTCACCTGGAAAACAACAGCCTTCATTATAACAAGATATTTTTTCAAAGACACTGTAAGAAATCTCTCCTGTCATGCATTAAGTTCACTAAAATGGTGTTCTTTTTCTCATTTGATTTGTTCAGATTCTTAAAGACAAAAGAATATGCATTTTATATTACCACATATAACAGTCAATTTGAATAATTAAACAACTCCTGTAAATACATTGTACTGTAAGCCTGGGAAAAGTACTTCATCAAGAGATACCATCTCATTTACTTGTGACAAATTTGACTTCAAAAGTCTTGAAAACTGTTGAGCAACTTAACATGATATTATCAAGAGTCAATGATCAACATATATGACATACCGGTGGTTTCCCATCTAAACAGGAAGTGATATCCATACTGAGGCTAATGTCAAGGTCAGACTTGCTGCAGTTGGAAAACATTCTGGAGTGATGCCCACCAGCAGCACTGTAGATGGAAAGTCACTTAATTATTTGTACATCATATACTTGTGAGTAAGAGTGTAAAATGATTACCAACTAACAGAATTAAATATATACACTCCGAATCTTGCCTAGGACTAGCTATAAAAATTGGCTCTTTTTTCTCAGAAATTCTGTAAATGTGTTCACAAGATATGGACATTGTTTTCTATAGGGTTAATTTCAGAGTTTGAAAGGGTTGTTTATTCTTAAGGTTTACAATTTACAACATTGCCATCTCCTTTAATCAAACTTCGAGCATTGGGAGCAGTTATTAATTTCCATCAGAGGAGCATTATTTTAGAGGATACCAGAAAACAGCACAGATATAATACTGGATAATTTAATGTTTAGGAAATTGTATTTATTGATTTTTGAACTAATTCAGTAATTAACAACTCACAGAACTTGGGTAGACATGATGCATCCAAACTCATCATTGCATTTACAGCCACCTGAAAAATGGGGAACACTGGCTTTACAAAATCATCACCCAAATTCCTAGAGTCCACATCAAAATAAACTGTTATCACAAGCAAACAAACATCAGCAGCAGCTACTCACACTAGTGTTAATATACCATTAACATAATTCTCTACAAAGTTACTGTGTTAGTGACGAAGGTTAGATCTTGTTTGTCTTGAACCTTATTGCTGTAACCTCCTGATTTAACTTTTGAAAGTTTTGTTTCCCGTCGTTTCCAAAGCAGATACATCATTAAATCAGTTTGTTTCTCAGGTGTGAGTCACTTGTCAGGTTTTGATCCAGGGATTTGGCAGAACGCAATACCATAGTCGGTCAATCACTATCAAATACTTGACGCATACCATAGTTCCTCTAATATGCATGTGGGGAAATCAATAAAAGCTGTCAGCATAAGTCCTCTAGTAAATATACTTATTATGTTTAGACAACCTTGCCATTATTTTATTTTTTTTTTTCCAGCCAAGAAGTTAAATCCAATGTATATAGCTACTAATGGAAAAATGATCCCTCGTGCCTTTCAAACCAAGCACTGATTCAAGGTCAATGCTTTGAGAGACACCAACACACTTACAAGAGGAAATATGGTATTCAAAGCACAGCATGGTATACAGTTACGATCTATTGTAAGGCACAATATTGACATTCAACACAAAACACATTTATCAACTTGCTTTATCCCACATGTCAACAAACAGCACACACACTGTAAATCAAAACATGCATTTCAAACACAAGAGAAAAACGTTTACAGCCAGTGGACAGCAAATAAATCAACTGCATTAAACCAAATAAAATATAAAAAGAAATGATGTTTTTCTCTGACAGAAGTCAATCATAACCACACACAGTATATGGTGTGAAAACGAAATGAACAGTTTGAAATATATATCGGTGCATATCAGACAACCATGGACCAGACAACGTGTTGACAACGTGAAGTGCATCATACAGGCCACGTGTAGTACCTTCATGGTATATTTCTCTCCACTTGGCTAAGATACGCAAGGACAAAATAGAATTGTTAATACATTAAATACATCATATAACTCAGATTCAAAATAATACAGGACCAAGGATTCTCAAGAAGCAGGGGAAACAACCATTGTTTCCTGTGGACCTACAGGGTGACAAGTATGGAATCCAATTTTTACTTGAAATTCCCACAGAGTGACAAACATGGGAATCCTATTGTAACCTGAAATCCCCATTGGGTGACAAGCATAGGCACCTTTTCTGACCTAGAATACCCATGGGGTAACAAGCATGGGATCCTATTCTGACCTAGAATACCCATGGGGTGACAAGCATGGGATCCTATTCTGACCTAGAATACCCATGGGGTGACAAGCATGGGATCCTATTCTGACCTAGAATACCCATGGGGTAACAAGCATGGGATCTTATTCTGACCTAGAATACCCATGGGGTGACAAGCATGGGATCCTATTCTGACCTAGAATACCCATGGGGTGACAAGCATGGGATCCTATTCTGACCTAGAATACCCATGGGGTGACAAGCATGGGATCCTATTCTGACCTAGAATACCCATGGGGTGACAAGCATGGGATCCTATTCTGACCTAGAATACCCATGGGGTGACAAGCATGGGATCCTATTCTGACCTAGAATACCAGTGGGGTGACAAGCATGGGATCCTATTCTGACCTAGAATACCCATGGGGTGACAAGCATGGGATCCTATTCTGACCTAGAATACCCATGGGGTAACAAGCATGGGATCCTATTCTGATCCTAGAATACCCATGGGGTAACAAGCATGGGATCCTATTCTGACCTAGAATACCCATGGGGTGACAAGCATGGGATCCTATTCTGACCTAGAATACCCATGGGGTAACAAGCATGGGATCCTATTCTGACCTAGAATACCCATGGGGGTAACAAGCATGGGATCCTATTCTGACCTAGAATACCCATGGGGTAACAAGCATGGGATCCTATTCTGACCTAGAATACCCATGGGGTGACAAGCATGGGATCCTATTCTGACCTAGAATACCCATGGGGTGACAAGCATGGGATCCTATTCTGACCTAGAATACCCATGGGGTGACAAGCATGGGATCCTATTCTGACCTAGAATACCCATGGGGTGACAAGCATGGGATCCTATTCTGACCTAGAATACCCATGGGGTGACAAGCATGGGATCCTATTCTGACCTAGAATACCCATGGGGTGACAAGCATGGGATCCTATTCTGACCTAGAATATCCATGGGGTTACAAGCATGGGATCCTATTCTGACCTAGAATATCCATGGGGTTACAAGCATGGGATCCTGATTATGACACTAGGGTATCCATTGTTCTGGGTTGACAAGCATGGGATCAACCTTCTATCTCTGAACTAGAATATCCATGGGGTTACAAGCATGGGATCCTATCCTGACCTGAGATCCCAATGGAGAGTCAAGCTTAGGATGCTATTCTGACCTGGAATCCTCGTGGTGTGACATCAATCTGAGCATCCTATTCTGAGATACAATCCACATGGGGTTGCAAGTATTGGAACCTCTTCAGCCCCAGATTAAAGACAGCAATGACATTGAAGTATGATAAGACTGACAATCAATACACAGTTCCCGGTCTGTGAGTGGCCATTGTGACCACCTGATCCATAACAGCTATTCTGACAAGCTGGAAGCATTAGGTGCTGTTCATAAAGGGGTCTCAACTCTACTACCATCACAACTTGAACTTTCACAACAACTTGAGGTGTTGTAATGTTACAATCACTTTGAACCCTCTTACACTTAGGTAGTTGAATGGAAGAGGTAATGTAAAATGTCTTTGAAGTTAGAAAATTATATAAGTATATAGGAATATATATTGCAGTCATTTATATAAACAATCATCATGCATTTAGTAAGTTGTCAATAAACTTGCAACATATTATGTCATTGTCAGTATGTTGCAATCCACAGCACAAAACATACGTTCATGCAAAGTGTTCTAGAGACCACATTCACAAAACAATATTAGTCCTATGACCACCAAAACTCCCACAGACCTATGATGGCTGTTTCTCCATACAGCTTTGTGCAAATGGGCATCAGATGACACTAAGGTATTTATTTCACTAAAAGTCTTTCCTGACAGTCTATTTACCATGTTCATTAAGACCTGAATAATTCCAAGTCTTATATATTACTGCTTTTGTAAAATCATAAACGGTTTTTGATTCTATAATATTGAGATTGAAATACAATTTTGCTTATATTTCATGAATGATGTTTTAGGGTTTGTTAGATGTCCAAATTATTCCATCAGTGATCAATCAATGCAAGCAATGCCGTAAAAGTCCTGATAAAACAGACACATGCATATGAATTTATCACTTCAGAGATGATATCTTCTTTGAGTTTAGAAGTTGGAGAATCAGAAAAAAGATGTTCTTCATCCATAAAGTTTGTCCTTATCAGAGATGATATCATCTTGCAAAATACCTCACTTGACAAAATATAAGTGAGGTTTAAAGATGAATGCAATTTTCAGTAATATCTGTTAGAAATAGTAAGAATAAGCCTAACATAATCATTAAATATTGATCATCATAATTATCATTAAATAATGATATTATATTAAACAATAAGCCTATCATCAATATTAAATCTTCTACACAGATACAATACCAATCTGCTTGAAGATCTGAGAACATTTCCATGAAGTTAGGTCAGTTTCTAATCAGCTGGAATTTCTTATCTGCTAAACAGCATCAAGGCTTCTTCATTCTCAGTACAAAGTAGAGAAGCATTCAGACAAGCATATCGGATTTCTGTATCTCATCAATGAATAGAATCAAGGATTTCCGAATGCGTAACAATAAATCAGCGCTATAATATTGTTGTGGATATTCATTACATCCTGATATTTCTGAGCACCATGACAACTACACATAAAGAGTACACCATCAAGGGTATATATGTCTACTGTGGGGGTTTTATTTCGGAATTTCAGAATCAAGGTGTACAGAAATGAAGCTTAATAGTTTCTGAAAGTTGATTGCCTCAATAATCCATGCATCCTCTCTTTAAATTAAAGTCACAATTTTTATCAGAATTCATCTTGAACTTCTACGGAGGTGTCCTCAGATCTTATGCAGAGAGGTAACGTATTAGAGTAGCAGATTGGATTTTAATGCAATTGCTTAAACTTAAATGAGTGTGTTGTGTTTCACACTGATTTTAGCAATATTCCAGACATCAAGATTACCAGCATGTCACACATCCTACCCCTATGGTGACTGGGGTTTTTACATGGCAGTCAGCAGTATTTAATTGACTATATTCTATCTAGGAATCTCAATGGAGATGAGTGAGATCTGGACACAGGTTTTCAATGTGAACCAATAGCCTACATCCAATCTCAAAATAGTCAAGAACAGGTGGCTTATTAATAATGTTGTTTTATATCTTGTAAGAAAAGGTCAGTGAAGGTCTTGAAAGTGAAGGTTTTGCTCAGGGGTAAAAGATCCTTGATTAGGATACCACAATTTTCAACATCAATGAGTGAGCAAGTGAATATCAGTTCTTGTACTCCTTGACTTACCATCTTCATCATGCTCAATGCCCAGATTGTGTCCGATCATGTGTGCCAAGATGGTGGCTGCTTGCTGGGGCTCAAATGGTTTAGGATTCTGCAAAATTAACGACAGTTGATTTCAAAGATCTCAGGAATGAAACGGCAGTGGATTTCATAGATCTCAAGAATGAAACAGCAGTGGATTTCATTGATCTTAAGAAGAGCAATGTCTTTGAAACATTTATATCATGAGTAATTTACAAATGAACATTGACTGCTGAACGAATGCAAATCAAGCAAACTGAATCATACTTTAAATTACCATTCACACAAACCAGCATAACAGAAATATATAGAAACACATTTACTTGGGCATCTGTTATGCCTTGCTTGGCCCAGTCTGTCCTAAATATCTTCAGTTTTTATGCAGAATAATGTTTGCAGGCACATTTCTACCAGTAATTGTAAGAATAAATAACATGTAACCGTCACAAAATATAACTCACTTTGCTAATGCCAACAGCTCTGTCAGTACACACAGAGTCGGGGAGAGCAATGCCAACAGCGTTTCCTTCAAGCTCTATGCCACTGAAACATAGTAATATAGTACAACACATTTGTCTTGCTCATGGATTAGGTGTTTATTAAGCCAGAAAAATAGCAGAAACAAAACAAGGGAATCTGAATTCCAACTGTGAACTTACGTCATGAAGTATGCGATGTCGAAGTTGGCTCCTTGTAGTGCCACCTTCTTGAAGTTCATGAACTTGATGAGCATCTCGCGCTGCTTGGGGCTGACGATGAACTGGTCGGCCAGGTTCCAGTACTCCAGGTAGGTCAATGACAGGTTCATGTTCAGCTGGCGGTAGTACTAGAGGAACACACAGATGCATCATTAACACTGACTCTGGATGAAGGAGGCACTATCATACCACGGATTTGTACCCAAAACCCTTTCCGGTTTCTGTACTCATACTGACTCCAGTGCCACACATTGCAAAGATAAGCAATATTTCTGTCTTCAAAGCTCAAGACAGAATTATTTCAGACTACAGACAGGTACCTGGGTTACATTTCTGAAGCTCCTGACAATGACCCGATCAGCAATATGTGCCTGAGAGTTTGGTTCTAGAAAAATATTCTAATGTGCATGACATGGGATGTATCCAGAATTGTCTTCAAGATGGAGAGACACAGACAGTGCAAGAACAGGCTGTAGCTTAAGGGGTATGCTGATTCAACCAAATATTGGTACAAAGTCAAACATGCAACAGAGGAACAGCATTTCAGTTATATCAAAGCATGCCTATGGCTGGAGATATTTATTACTTCAGTAACACCAATGAGCACAAGTACTATTGTACTGTCCCAAGAATCCATGATATTCAAACTACATCAGACACTGCCTTCCATTTCTCCTTGGGTAGATTGCTATCTGCAGTATCTGTGTGGCACTGTTTTAATGTTTAGTGAACCAGTGATCAACGAAGTGGAAACCATACTGCTCATTATGATGATGGATAAGATTCACAGACTTACCAGATCGGCAATGTTGGCAATTTCTACAGCATACGTTGTCATTTCACTTTGTGATAAATTTAGACCAAGGTACTGAAACAGAACAAGATGGCCTTTAATAATAGTAGCTTTTTCGCAACCGGTTATACATTCATAATGGTACTTAAAGTCATGGAATTTGTAGAAAATCAATGTAAAGACACTGAAGAAAAACACTTCATTCCTCACCACAGCTTTATCCAGCACCATGGCCAGCTTCAAAGTCTTCGGGGGTTGGGGAGCTGCTTCTTTCTGATACTGAAACGAAGAATAATGTTCATTATCACCATCATCAGGTATATCTTTACCAGACAAACTATATGATCACTAGTGTTGGGAATTGGTTAAAATCTAATAATTGATGATTGGTCCATTACAACCGATCAATCATCGAAAATAATTGGTTAACGTCATTTATCAAATGTTCCTGTTATTTTTGTTAATGCACACAAAAATAAAGAAAAAACATGTAGTAATTTGTTTTGTTTTTTTCAAATTTCATAAAGTCCATTTGTAAATTTTGCATATTTAAATGATGATTAGTATGTTAGGAATACATATATCCTGGATTCTTTAAGATAAATTCAATCATGACTTGGAACGAGCTTGTACATGTAGTGCTTATGAAATGTAAATTTAATGACACAGACAAAACCAGCCTTGTGAAAAATATTGTTAATGCAAACAAGTGTTCCAAGATTGGTCGTGTTCAATAATGAGAAAACATGTTCGATTGCTTGGTCGTTTAGTCACTGTGACCAATCTTCGAATATTTCAATTAATCGGACCACCACTAATAATCACTATCATCATAAGCAGCACAGTAGTCATCAAAGGTGTAATAATACACCTGTCTGTATCTCATAATATGAAAAGTGTCAAACTATTATGTCATGATACAACACAAATGTTTGACAAGGAGCCCTTTTATAGCCTGACTGGTAAAAATCAACAGTTTTCGCAATATATAAACGATTGACCTCAAGGACACCAACACTTTCTATCACCAAAAACACAGCAGGAGCTGTGAGTATGGTTTTACACTGCTTTCAGGGTTCACACAGATCTTTGGACTTTTACATTCAAGATTTTTTAAGGACTTTCCAGGGGAAAATATCTGCTTTTAAGAACCACTGTTATTCATAATGAAGATGAAGTGGTGTACTTCTGTCCACAGAACAGCAAGCAACATCAGTGTCCCTTCGAAAATTTCACACCTTTAGTAGTCTTCACACAAACAGAATGTCTTCCTTTCATTAAAAACATACGTTCCTAATATTTAAGCATATCTGAAGCAAGCTTTCTGCCCTGATTTTATCTATGGTTGATGTGAGATTCATAACCTCATTTTAATCCCACTGAGATTCAAGTGCTGCTAATGAAAACAATAAGTAAACTATATTTAATAATACCATGCACTAAGGAATCAACACATGTACCCTTATAGACAGTCTTTCTGTTGTAGGTGACAGAAGTAAAGAACACATTAAAACTTCATCGTCAATAGTTTTAGTGGTGTTGTTACTGCTGGACTGGAGCGGATTGGGGTAGCCTAGTGGTTAAAGTGTTCGCTCATCACGCCGAGGAGGCAGGTTCGATTCCCCACATGGCTACAATGTGTGAAGCCCATTTCTGGTGTCCACTGCCATGATATTGTTGGATATTGCTAAAAGCGGCATAAAACTAAACTCACTCACTCACTACAGCTGAACTGATTTTATTTACATTCCAGCACTTTTCAAGAAGTGTCAATAAACTTTGTGCACTTTGATGGTAAAATATGTCAATGGACATCGTTAAGTTTAAGCACTTTTCAAACTTGTGCGAAACCTGACTTTTTGCAATATTCCTGTATTATCACAGAAGAATAACTGGAAATTTGCTTCAGTCACTGAACCCATGTGGGGAATCAAACCCTGGTGTCCAGTATGAAAAGTCCATTTTTAACCTCTTGGCTCACCCATCAACCCTATATGGAGTTGTGATAATATTGGCCAGGACAGTATGAGACATAATTTACATTTTTAGTCTTATTCCAAACCAAAACAGTCCTCAGACTCACATTCAAAGCTAACTTAGTGTCCACGGAAGGAGTTCCAACCCTGTCACTGTCAACACAAACTCCTCACATCAACTTTCCCTGATTCCGGCACACTTATTGCATCAATATGGAGACATCAAAAGTTCACCATATTGTTAGCCCAATACAAATCTCAACATCCCTAACAGTCATACACGCTATCAAAACACAAAAACTATTAGCAGCCAACTATAAAATATTATTCCAATTATTCCTCATTGTCCAGTTGTAGTTGTTCAATATGTGCCTCAAACAGCCTGCTAGGTTATCTCCCCTTTATTGACATCTCCAGAGAACAAAGCACCTCCTCACATCTATCAGCGACATCAAGGGCTAGTACCGACATTACTCGATGCCAGCCTTCTAGCAATTTACATCAAGCCATGGAGACCACCATTTACTACCAACATCACAGGGAAATATTAATGAAGTTTGCTCCCAGTCCAATCAAGAGCATGGCAGAAACTTAGACAGTTTCATGATATACCCCTTAGATAGATGTCCAGACATATTTCCCTAACTAATCCTAGAATAGAATCAATGGCTTTAGGCTTGCATGTTCTGACACACAGATCAAACAGTTCATGCAAGAGACCGATTTTGGAAAAATCAAATTGTCTCAACGGGATCAATTTTGTGGGTATTATGAGAATCCCAAAGTCAATTTGTTGATCAAGAGTTTTAGTTTCATGTATATGAATGAATGTATAGATAGATAGGAAATGTTTGGACTTCATATAAATGGTTGTGAAGTTGGGTAGTCAATGGTTCATCAAGTCAACATTGATCTATACAGGGGACACAGGTGTCACTGTCATCTAAGCCATCCATTGGGCAATTGTTTGATTGTTCTAGAAGTTGGTGAGTCAATAATGAAGCATACAAGTTCATGGATGACAACTTCATGCTGGACAACGGTGTAAGAATCTGCACCAAAACATCGCTCTATGCAGTCAACAAGAAGCAGTTATCCATAAAGTTGTATGCTTCATCATCATTTGGGCATGAAGGAAACATTTCACAGTGGTCCGAATCCTGGTTCTTCTAGATTATGTTCATGGGATTGTCAGCATCATACCTACATTTGTGAGTTTCACCAAAGTGGTAAACATACTACCCTTGGTCACCCCATATATTAGCTGCCCTGGGTCTGTCTGGAAGTTGCTTACCCTTGATCACACTGTACTAAGATCCTCTTGTCACTCTCCTGTATTTTTATTTGCCTTGTCACCCTATATTTAGCTACCCTAGGTCAGCCAGTATTTTGGTACATTTGGTTACCTTGTGTTAGCTGCCCTTGGTCAAGTTGTAATATAGCTATCCTTGGTTGATCACCCTATATTTAGCTACTCTCAGTCAGGATGTAATTTAGCTAACCTTCCTCACCCTGTGTTAGCTGCCCTTGGTCAAGTTGTAATAAAGCTATCCTTGGTCACCCTATATTTAGCTACTCTCAGTCAGGATGTAATTTAGCTACCCTGCGTCACCCTGTGTTAGCTGCCCTTGGTCAAGTTGTAATATAGCTATCCTTGGTCACCCTATATTTAGCTACTCTCAGTCAGGATGGATGTGTGTTAGCTGCCCTTGGTCATTGTAGCTATCCTTGGTCACCCTATATTTAGCTACTCTCAGTCAGGATGTAATTTAGCTACCCTTCGTCACCCTGTGTTAGCTGCCCTTGGTCAAGTTGTAATATAGCTATCCTTGGTCACCCTATATTTAGCTACTCTCAGTCAGGATGTAATTTAGCTACCCTTCGTCACCCTGTGTTAGCTGCCCTTGGTCAAGTTGTAATAAAGCTATCCTTGGTCACCCTATATTTAGCTACTCTCAGTCAGGATGTAATTTAGCTACCCTTCGTCACCCTGTGTAAGCTGCCCTTGGTCAAGTTGTAATATAGCTATCGGTCAAGTTATTTAGCTATAGCTCAGGCTGTAATTTAGCTACACTTCGTCACCCTGTGTTAGCTGCCCTTTGTCAAGTTGTAATATAGCTATCCTTGGTCACCCTATATTTAGCTACCCTCAGTCAGGCTGTAATTTAGCTACCCTTGTTTCCCCTACATTTTAGCCGTCCTTGGTCAGGTTGTTATTTAGCTAACATTGGCAGCTTTTACAAAAATCTCCATTTAGACAAGTTCCACATCTCACTAACTCCACACACTAATTTCCAATACCTCATCTGACCACCTACAACCATCTAAGACTCTCCAGAGACAACATCAAACACTGATTTATTAATCATGTAATCTTATCTCAAGGCCAGAGACTTACCCTGACTGCTCGTAAATACTTGAGTTTCCGTTCAAATTCCCCCTTGTGAAGTTCATGGAACGGCAGCCACTGGCCTAGACTATTACCTGTAATGAAACAAAATTGAAACCCATTCATTTCATCGTTTGATGTGCCTATAACATGTCTGCTGTAACGCACATGCAATGCCAGCACATGTTGATTTGTTACTGTTTACCACTGTTTAAGTAATAAAGATGAGATAGTTTCTGACTGGTCTCACTCTGATAACTGTGAGAATCAGTTGTGTCTGATAACTGTCAGAAAAGATTTATGAAAGAAGTGTTTGTGAGACATGTTTTCTCATAAACTAAAACTAGAAACATTCGCATATTTCATAACTCCAAAAATCAACTCAGGCACCATTCACTCGCTTAGAAAATAAAACAGTTATATATTCCATTATCTTTTGTGACTTTCAACAGTCTACATCAGGGAATTCAGTTATCTTTAATACTGTAGTTATTTCTGCTGATTTTATTATTTTCTGGCACAAGTCATGACACAACAGACAGACATGTTCTATACCGGTAATAATTTTTTTTTTTCAAATTCACTTAATTATTTGCATTAAAACGTGTATATGGGGTAAATAACATGAATAAAATGCACTGTACATACATTCTGCAAAAGTAAAATGCAAAAGTAGAACAAAATGAATACCAAACATGAATTCCTCAAATCTGCATGCATTGGGAGTGATTTGTGCGGGTAAAATAAATTATTGGCCAAAAATCATGAAAACGTTTGGGAAAGGTGGACTGGTTTGGTGTCGAAGGTGTAATGATGTGGGCCGCCATCTCCCATACCAGTAGATTAGACTTGGTACATGTCCATGGCAATTTAATAGCACAATGTTACACAGATGAAATTCTTCAGCTACACCTAATTCCCTTTATGCAACATATTTTCACATGACAACACCTGACTTCACACAGCAAAGACTGACAAGGGCCTTTTTTGAGGAACCACAGATTACAGAACCTCCAAAATTGGCACAAACACTACAGGAAGAGTAGGTGGACATTCTCCAGGCCACAAATCATAATTTGACTGGTTCCATGTGACGACAATGGCAGGCAAATCCAATTTTGATAACAGATGACCTTCACCTTGACATTCAAATGTTTTATGTGTGCCATAATGAACCTCTGTCAGTGACAATGACAATGAATTTGAACAACTTATTATGACCTGTTGATTATTAACATCTTACATACAGTATACATCTGAAAAATAACTTATACGTTCCTATTTTTGGAGAGTATATGAGAAGTATGTACTTTACATACATAGCAAGAATGACTGATTTGACAATATAATGAAGTTAATGAATATCACAAGGATAGCATTACACTTGACCTCAGCCAAACAGTGATACACCGACAAGTTACAATTTAAAAAGTTTAATAAAATTTCACCTAGTTTCTGAACATAAACTGGTAATGGTTGGAAAATTGTTAGAAATTTATATCAGACACAAGCCTCAGATATCTCCTCCAACTCTCTATAATCATGTCACCATGTTGAATTATGAAAGAAAATCTACACTGCGGAAAGGTCAAAGCATGAGCCCCTTCACCACACTTTTGCAAGAGTAAATCAGCTTCTGAAAGGACACCTCTATGACTGACATCACTGTCATAAATGTTGTGGACAACTAACTTACCACACTTTTCCTTGTGAGACACAGATGCCTTGAAAACAATATGTGGGTGCTCCATCTGAAACAACAAACAAACAAGCCACATCAATAAGATTCATAAACTGACCATGGAACTGGTTAAGCTCTGTCATGTATATTTGCATACACTTGTAAATACATTTCTTTACTGTATAATGCAATGTACTCTGCTTTTGTAATATGGAAGAAGTATACACATAGATATTTAGTAATATATTTACTGATCCCCTTTTTGTATTCAATATTCGGGCAATAAATATTGTTGACAAATAACAAAAGTTGTGATAAAACCATAAAGACCAGGGTCCTCACAATTCTATGTAGCAATTTCTGCACCATGACTCTAATATATCTATGATGTGAGTTTGTAAATATCATCTTCATGTGAATGAAGGAATGAATGAAGGAAGGAAGGAATGTGAATTACAAAAACATTGATGCAAACTTAGCTTTATGTTTGTCTGAAGACCATATCAATGTACAAGAGATACGATCATCATTGTACAAATATTGCTTGGGAGATCACCCAAAATCATCAGATATCCCTGTACCTCAATTGTATCCAAAATCAACCACAACTATATTAAGCAAATTTAACATTTCTCTTAAATCAGTTTCAACGAGGTAAGGAATCGCATTTATGTCATCCATTTCAGTCTTATCTATAGATGTTAATGTCGAAGCAGGTTTTATCACGTTGTATATGAGAGTTGTGTAACCTCTATTACCGTCCCTGCCATCAATGATACCCACATTTAATGTAATGAAGTCTCGGATATTTATAAGACCATCATCCCAGCGGTAAACCAGTAGCTACACTTGAAGCAATGATGAAACGTTTTGTACAGATGATTGCATAGCCTTTCTGCTCTTTAACAGTTTACCGATTTTTATCAAAATGAGAAATAATCAATGTGTTCTTGGGATACATATTGAAAACTGCACTCTATTGTAATCTGTAGCATACAGCTCTCTGGTGGATTGCTCTGTAGCAGTTGGATCAAAATGGTGGCAAATGGCCTGAATTATTCACAAAAGTGCAATTCATATAAACATTCATTTCATTTTTTCAGCTGTCATGAAAAGAATTAAACATCAACTGAAGTTTTTTCGTTTTTAAAAATTGAATGTCCAATCTCATCAAAAAAGAGATAAGAAATGTCAAGGTTTACATCATTCATTTTTAAACTGAACTTTGAATGTCATATTTAGTTAAAAGTGAAAGCTATCAAATTTGCAAATTCGTGCTTATTCTTGTCTTTGAAGAACATGATGATGAATGATTTATATCAATAATCCTTAAATCCAATCTCCATAGAATGCTCAAAACACTACAGTTCTAACCCAGTGCGAGTATCAGTCTGAACTAGAATTTCATTCTCAGCTCCCTTAGAAGTATACCGTTGCCTTATGAGATACTACAAAGTTAACATGCAACAATCCTACTGTAGCATCACTGCTTGGTGAACAGAGACATATTTTGCAAAGTCACACTTCTAAGGTGGATGTCTAAGTTGGGGGTACGACTACAGCACAAGAAACTCTCAAGAGTCAAGTCTGACTAAAACATGGTTGCCCATCCATCTAATGTCTGTGACCTCCATTGTATAACTTGTCTGATTTTTTTCCTCAGTCGTTTCATCTGTACTGCCATGTAATACAAATAACATAACAACAGAAAACCACAGCAATTTACAAACTCAATCTAGACAAACACTTAGTTTCTTAATATTTATACAATTTTGATAGATACATTTATTTCCATGTTAACTGAAAAGGAGCCCCAGTGAGCTGCAAGATTCAGAACCTATGGAAAATCTAGACTTGCTTCACTTAGGGTTTTTGCATTGCAGAAAGGCTTGGGCGGAAGGGAAAGTAATGTTGTTCAGGGACTGTGAGACAGACTAGAACTCTACTCTGAATGGAATTCTATGCTCGTGGTCTGTCTCACAATTTCTGAATTTTTTTCCTCTCTTTCACAAACCTCTCACTGTGATCCCATTGCATTAACTGAAACGAATCTCAATCTTCTACAGGTTCTAAATCCCCGATCTCACCTGGGACCCTTATCAGATTAAATGGAGTTGTTTGTTTCTGTCAAAGTCATGTTTTCAGAGGCTAAGTGGCCGTCTTTGCTTAATGGTGTGTCTCCCATTTTCATTGCAGTGTGTGATAAAGATACATTTGACATGTGTTCAGGGTAATGTGCATCTTTGAGGATTAATACATATTCTGTCTCATAATGTTTTAGTCTCCTGTTGAGATTCGAACAGAGAACCTTTGCATCAGGGACAGACACCTTGTCCACATGACCAAAGCTAACATAGTAACCATGTAATCTGTGGGATGATTCCACAACCCAACACATATAACATAAAATCAGAGTTAGCAACAGACCGATTTTGTAACACCTCAGATCAACATTGAAGGAATGTCAGTTTGACTGAACTTTAAGCCCTTTAAATCCCTACTGAATCAGATCCACAGTATTTATTCATATTCTATGCTGTGCTTCAACGCATTTCATCGTATAAAGATATTACAAAGTTATCCACTCCTGATTTAAGACTTTCACGGAAAATCTAATCATGCAAACGTGAGCATGTTAAAGAGATAAATCAACTCGAACTTTAAATCAATGTTTCATCCTTATCACAGGAAGACTTCATGAGCGCTAACTCTAATAGCCGAGAATACTTAACAAGTCTTATCTCTCATTCATGCACTGACAAAATACCTTACTAATTTGTCTAGAGGCAGGGGTCACATCAAATTTGAAAGATCTCAAAACAGTTTCCATATTTATCCAGTTTATTTGTTATCAGCTAGTCTCATGTTCATTTCCAGCGCCCTAGGTCAGCCTGTCATTACCTTCATGTTTATTTCATACCGCTTACAGAATTACAGAGCACTGGCGGCACAAGAGAATTAACATGAAACATTGCAGCCTAGGATGCTACATGGCTACACCAGTGATAATCCCCTGCTATTTACACCAGTTTCAGGTGTTTCCATAACCCCTGATACTAAATGTCTTTTGATTTCGCCACGAGGTAGATCTGTGAAATCTACATCTGAAATTGAGGCCTAGTATCAAGGTTGTTGATTTCAATCAATAACATCAGAATGTGAAATATGCGAGGAAATAAACATCAGAGTGTCCTTTAACTTATCTACCGTATGATAAAAAGCTGAGCTGGCACTTTGAAGATCCAATATACAGTGGTCAAGTCCAAACTCCCAAGTCACTGGACCAAATATGCCATTCCTCATTTCATTGGAATTTGTCAATATCAGCGCTGACATGCACAAAGACAATAAGAGGTTGTACATTGAAGTAGCTTGACGAGACATCTATTAATGGTTGATGTTATGAGGAGTCAATATTTGATGTTATATCTGATTCATCATCAAGTACACAATGAAATGGAACTACACAGTAAAACATTCCTCTTTTTTTCTTATTAAAACAGCGTGTAATTTCCTAGCCCATGTTAAAGAAAGATGACAGAGATGAGAATGACTGAAATAGCATATTGAATTGTCATTAGAGTTGCTTCATGGGGTTTTCACTGATGAAGAAGGAATGACCTTTCTCCCATCAACCCTGTTGCTATTTCAGTCCATCACATGCAATTTTTTCACTTGTAAGGAAACAGAAGTGGCAAGTATTTTGTAGTGAGTTTGGTTTAATACTGCTTTGAACTGTACTCCAGTATGTAATTTTTAGAGTAAAATTGATATTTTATACTTATCCTGACTCATGCTCTTTTTGCTTGTCTTCTTCTTCTTGCGAACATAGTGGAACACTTGTATCTCCCTAATTGAAGCTCCCTTCAATGTAAAATCACTAATTAGTACATCACGAGTTACCTCCCTTCCACAAGCTCGGGAACGAGGGCGCCACCTCTACCCATGTGCCTCACTCTCTCCTCATATACTGAGCCCAACATTTGAATTTACAGGGAAATCCAAAGTGTTATGTGGGGAGGATGGGAGGGCTTACCTCATGAGTCAGGATAAGTATAAAATATCAATTTTACTCTAAAAATTACATATTTTTTCCTTATCCTGACTCATGCTCTTTTTGTAGAATCCTACCGGAAGGAGGTGGGAATATATAATACTTTGGATTTTAATAATTAGTGATTTGAACTGTGATGATTGTAATAACCCTATGGGAACTTCATAAAGGCACTGAACTGATGAATTCCTGCTGCTAACTTATCAGCTGCCATATAAAGGTTATTACAATGTACTTATTACAATGTACTTATTATGATAAAGTATATATAACATTAATACAATGCTTAAGACTAATAGACTTAAGCTTGTTAAATTAACTAGTATAAACTCCTTAGAGTTTGTTAGCTAAATTACTTTAAGATATAAACATAGTACTAAGCTTAAGATATGCTTAAACTTAAGCTAATTATATAATAGCAAAACTCTTTAGAGTTTGTTAGCTAATATACTTATATGATATAAACATAGTGCTGAGCTTAAGATATGAATAAGCTTTAGCTACATATATAATAGCAAACTCTGTAGAGTTTGTTAGCTAATATATTTTTACAATATGAGTATAGTACTGTGCTTAAGATATAATTAACTTAAGCTACATATACAATAGCCAAAACCTCTGTAGAGTTTATTAGCTAATAGACTTATATTGTAACCATAGTATTAAGCTTAAGATATGATTAGACTTAAGCTAAATGTATATAGCAAAAAAAACTCCTTAGAGTTTTTAACTAATATACTTTTATGTTAAAAACATAGTACTGAGCTTAAGATATGATTAAACTTAAGCTATATATATAAAAAGCAAAACTCCGTAGAGTTTGTTAGCTAATACATTTTATAATGTAACCATACTGCTTAAGATATGATGAACTTAAGCTAAATATATAATAGCAAAAAACCTTTTAGAGTTTTGTTAGCTAATATACTTATATGATATAAACATAGTATTGAGCTTAAGATATGAAGGAAACCTTAAGCTACATATATAATAGCAAAAACTCCGTAGAGTTTGTT